TCTCTTCCCTCTCATCAGGTTGGCTTCATTGCACAACACAACAAAACACCAGTGGGTTTTTATTTTCCCTGAGACAGGCATCCATCCTAGGAGAAGGAACCTGGCAGAAATGGACGCACGCAATGGCATCGCTATTAGTAGACCAGATTCTGATGTTGTGGGTTTAATTAAAACATTGATGCCCATCAAAACTCTCTCTGTGGCTTGCCAAAGGTTTGTGTGAATCAGCGAGCGCTGCGTTGTGCAGAGAGGGCATCAAAGAACATTTTTTTGGCATCATACGATGAGCCAAACTTGCATAACTAGCTTTTCCTGTCCCGGGGTTTGCTTAGGGATTTAAAAGTGATGAACAAAACAGATTTAAAAGAGACACCGGGGATTAGTTTCCATCCATTATTCCTTCTCTGGCCTTTGGGTGCTTTGGAGAATAGCTTGACCTCCCCCTCCTCTCTGTGGCAGCCCCTCAAATATTGGAAGGCTGCTATGCTGTCTCCCCTGGTCCTTCTCTTCCCTAGACTAGCCAGGCCCAGTTCCTGCAACTCTTCTTTGTATAATTTAGCCTCCAGTTCCCTAATCATCCTGGTTGCTCTTCTCTGCACTCTTTCTATATCTTTCTATATCAATAACTTCGGTGTAGGATTAGGATGAGGATGAAGGTTCGCTTGTGGGTTGGTTTCCAAAAAGCTTAGTGCCCCCCCCCCTATAAGTAAGATGTTCTTACTTATAAGGACACCCTTACTTGTAAGCTATGGATCTCCTGTCTAATGAGGCAAGATGGCATTCTTTGCTGCGTGCCCTCCCCGGGAGGAGGTGATGAGTAAGTTAACAAGATGGTAGCAGTGAGTGAACTCCCATCATTCGAAGGGACTCATCAAGGGACTTCTCCCGAAGCAAACACAGCCTACTCTTCTCCTTTGGGGTTTGTCAGAAACGGTGTAGGGTCTGCTGCTTGGGTGGGGGTCGGGGGTGGGTTGGACTAGATGACCTACAAGGTCCCTTCCAATTCTGTCAATCTGTATATCTCCAAACTGCTAGATCCGACGAGAAACTCTCTTCGTGAAACTTGGTTTCAGTGTTCCAGAGATTAAACAACAACAACATTTGCTCCTCAACCACTGCATGAGAGTTTTTGTAACTAGGTGGGCATCCTATGTGTCATTCTTGGACATTGTTTGCATCTGTTTTTTGCTGATCGGGTGCAACGTTGGAAAAACAATGAGGCTTTGAGCTGACGGCGTGGCTCTTTTTGAGTAGGCGTTGGAAGGGATCAACGGATCAACCTATTTTTCTTCTCTTGCCATGGGTTGGGCCTCCAAAGCTGAGTTTTGCTGGCGCTCTTGAATAACGCCGGATCAAACCATTCCCGGCAGTTGGCGGGAGGCATGCATCTGACGTCCGCTGGATCAGATAACCCTCTGCAAAGACAGAAAGGGAAAGGTTGCCTGCACCTCCTCTAAAGTCCTCCTAATTTCCTTCCGACAAGATTTGGAGGCTACCAGTGGTCAGGAATGGGTGTGGAGCTCTCTTGGAACTGTCGAAAAACCCAACACACAATCTGCAACACAATCTCCTTTTAGTAGTTCCAGGAAGGCTTCACACACATTTGCACCACTCAGGGGACTCGGAGGACACAGAGAAACCTCCAAGTGGCCTCAGTGACCCTCTAAAAGGGTGCAAAGGACCAGCTGTCTGCAAGGAGGATCGATCCTTCCATTCCTCACCACTATCTAGTCAGAGCTGAAGAAGCTTCTTGGATGAGAAGCGAAACGTCTTCAAGGAAAAACCAGAAAGTCCAGTTGCCTCTTGAAAGAAGCACCTTGGGGGGCGAAGATGATCTTAACTTTAGGCAGAGGTGCTATACCTCAACAGGTGGGGTCTAGTTGTGGTTTTGGGGTTGGATTGGAGTTCAAAGGCCTGCTTGGGCACCAAGCTAAGTCTTCTCCACCTCGTAGTATGTTGCAAGAATAAAAATAGGGTTGATGGTCCCAAGGATCTTCATGCTTTAAGTCAACTCATGAATTTGATTCAGACCTCCAGTTTGGAGATTCGATTGAACTGGCTCTTCACAGAGTTGGAAGGGACATTGTAGGTCATCTAGTCCAACCCCCTCATCCAACCAGGAGACCATGCACCATTTCTGACAAATGGTAGTCCAGTCTCTTCTTGAAAGCCTCCAGGGATGAAGCTCCCACAACTTCCGAAGGAAACTTTGGGTTGATTGTTCCCACTGTCAGAAAATCCTTCCTTATTTCCAGGTTGAACCTTGTTCAGTTTCCATCCGCTATTCCTTGTCTGGCCTTCGGGTGCCTTGGAAAATAGCTTGACCCCCCCTCCTCTCTGTGGCAGCCCCTCAAATATTGGAAGATGCTCTCCTGTCTCCCCTGGTCCTTCTCTTCACTAGACTAGCCAGTTCCTGCAACTGTTCTTCATATGTTTTAGCCTCCAGTCCCCTAATCATCCTGGTTGCTCTTCTCTGCACTCTTTCTAGAGTCTCAACCTCTCTTTTATACTGTGGTGACCAAAACTGGATGCGGTATTCTAGGTGTGGTCTTACTAAGGCTTTGCAGAGTGGTATTAGTACCTCCCTTGATCTCGGTTGTATCCCAGTTGCAGGAACTGGGCATGGCTGGTCTAGTGAAGAGAAGGACCAGGGGAGACAGGAGAGCATCTTCCAATATTTGAGGGGCTGCCACAGAGAGGAGGGGGGGTCAAGCTATTTTCCAAGGCACCTGAAGGCCAGACAAGGAGGAATGGATGGAAGGTGACCAAGGAGACATTCAACCTGGAAATAAGGAGGAATTTCTTGACTGGGAGAACAATCAACGCATGGAACAGAAGTTGCCTTCGGAAGTTGACGTAATTGGGGTGGGGGAGGAATATCATTAAAAAAAATAATACTTCTCGGTAAATAGAAGACTGGTAAGTAGGT